CAAGGTCTTATATTTGGCCTCTACAGAACAAGAATATAATACAATAGAAAACAAAGAATCTAGTGCCATTATGCAACCCTAATTAAGCTGATATTCATGAAGAACATTCAAACTAAATTTGACCAGTGAAAAGTTGAAAATAAATTATATATTATTAGTTTGCATATCATTAGCATTTTAGTAATGAATGTACTGATGGTTATGGAGTATGTTGGTACTTAGCAGGCTTAAAAGCCTGCAATTCCATAAGAAAAAAATCCAGCAATAAGTTGCTTAACTTTCCTGAAACCATTTAAAACTGTGTGGGTACCATCTGTTATGATATTTTATTATTAAACTTTTTATATTTTTAATTATTATAAAATGACAAAAAGTTTCATTTTGAGGGTAGGAATGGGTTTTATAAAAAATTGTAAATGCTAATAATGAGTAAAATTGTCATTAAATCCAACCCTACTGGAGATACAATACACAACTCCCTTTATCTCCCCACTCCATTGACCTTTAACCACCAAACTTTAAAAGCATCAATCCCCCTAATACTCTAACCTCCCTGCAAAATTTCAGAAATTTTTGACAAAAAGCACAGGAATTAAGTTTCAAAGAGGGTGAACAAAATTATGCCCCCTCCACATACACACACCCATACATAAAGAAAAACCCCCAAATTTTTTTTGAATTTCTTGATGTTTCAATGTTCTGAGTCCAAAAGTGTAAAAATCTTCAGGGGTCATTTATGCCCAATCACCATGCTTTCCCTCTGTTATATATAACAGAACTGGGAGAGTAAAATGCAGTCAAAGCATAAAATAAGCTTATGAACAAAGAATACAATTTCAAAGTAGCAATAGTATGTTAAATTTCAAGGCTGTCATAATTAAATCACATATCTGTGTTAAGTAACAACAGCTGTTAAAAATATGTAAAAACTATGTTCAACCCAATATCTACTTTACTTATTAATCATGACATCCAAGATGTGTGTGGAAGCAACAAAGTCTAACAAGTAGGAGGAAGACTGTACAGTAGAGCATCAATTATCCAAATGAACAATAAACTGAAATATTGGTTACCCGAAAGCGTTCCAGTCAACAAATTCAAATTTCCACTAGTGCCGTGGCACTGCAGCATTTCCTCCCTCCCTGCCAACCAGCCTATGTGACCAACCTTTGTTACTTGTGACAGATCATGCTGTAGTTGTTGTACTGTTTGCAATGGCAACTAAACGTAAACATGTTGTTCTCAGTGTTTCTGATAAACTTAAAATAATAGACCTGTTGAAGAGTGGTGTTAGTGGATCAAGCTTAGCTCTGGAATATGGAGTTGAAAATGCCACAATATCAGATATTAAAAAGAAGTGATGCCATTAAAAAATTTGCGAGTATACTTGACAGTGAAGACGGAAGCTTGCACAGAAAAATGATGAAAATGGCAGAAAACCAAGATTTAGACACTGCAGTTTAAACATGGTTCATGCAGGTATATAGCCAAGGACAACCAATAAGTGGTCCCTTTGATTTGTGAAAAAGTTCTTGAAATGAACAAGAAACTAGGGGTAATGCTGATTTTAAAGCAACTACTGGCTGACTTATGCATTTCAAATCTAGGCATGGATTTAGGGAATTAGGATGAAAAACTGCTGGCTGATACTGATACTGAACATTTGAAAGTGTCTTTTAAAAACATGATTGATAAGGAGGGCTACAAAAAACCAATGTCTACAATGCAGACGAAACTGGTTTGTACTGGAAGAAAATGCTAACAAAAACCCTAGTTTCTAAGAATGAAATGTCAGCACCTTGTTTTAAGGCAAGCAAATCATGCATCACTGCTATGGTATGCAGAAATGTTATTGGAATGCACAGGCTACCTTTGCTAATTGTAAGGAAGTCTAAAAATCTGCGGTGCTTTAAGGGTATAAAAAAATTGCTGGTCACCTACAAGAATCAAAAGAATTCATGGATGGATACAACATTTTTAAAGAATGGTAGACACTGCATTTATCCCTGAAGTCAAAAAGCATCAGCTTACAACTGGGAATTCTGGAAATGTTTTATTGTTGACTGATAATTCCCCAAGTCATCTCTCAAACGTTTCACTGGAAAGAGAAGATGGAAAGTTTAAATTTGTTTTCTTGTCTCCCAATGTTACTTCAATCTTCCAACCAATACACCAGGTCATTGAAAGCTTCAAACATTATTACAGAAAGGCATTGCTGCATATGATAATGATTGGGAAAAAATATGAAAAAAACAATTCAACATGTGTACACTTAAATTAACTTGAAGGATGCTGTGTACATGGCAGCAGAAGCTTGGGCTACTGTCAAGCACACTACACTAACAGCAGCTTGGAATAAGCTCCTACCATCAAATGAGTCTATTACTGCACCTGAAGAGCCACCAAACAGGCAATTTGTATCACAACTGCTTGGGCTGATTAAAGAATGTTCAGGATTTGAAGAATGTGATGAGGAAAACATTCAAGACTGGTTTGAATGTGATGTCAATCACTCTGGCTATCAAGTATTGTCAGATAATGAAATCATTGCCAGTGTCATTGATGACCAAGACCCTTGCGATGACGAGGATGAGCCTAGTGATGACAACCATGCTGAAAAAGGACCATCCAGTGAGGAAGCTTTTCACTATCTTGAGATGGCTATGAAGTGGTTATAACAGGAAGAAGAATGTATTGCTGTCCAATTGCCATCTTTAAAACGTGTGCGAGATTTAGCGGCAAAAAACAAGTCTCAATTTAAAATATAAACCAATCATGTTAAAGTAATAGCATCAGTGTTTTGGTTTGTTTTGAAATTCTTTAACTAATTAAAATATATGAATAATCAGAAATGAATAGTCCATATCATGACAGTATCTGAAATAAAACGATTGCCTTAAACATTGCCTTTAATCCTAAATTTTCACTAATTTCTCTCCAAGACTTGTTCTTAGTCTTTTCAATGATAATCTATTGAACTGATATTCTGTAAAGAATCATATTGGTAAATTAGTTTGATGAAACAAGCTACCAAAGCATTAGTTCAACAGACCACCATCTTTCTACATCACTGTATTCAATACCTCTCATTGTGTGGCACTTACAATCAGTGTGAAGAAAACAAACCATTAATAGTTTATCATCAATTGTGGTTGCACTCAGACACAGTTTGAAGGGGTTCACCAAAGAACAGTGAGTTGGTTGTGGATTACTGGTGCAGCTGTAGAGCAACCATATAAGCATAGCTTTAGACAAACATTTTTGATATTGAATTGCTTTTTCCTGTAATCCTGCGGATACAGGTGTTTAATAGCTCTTTCAGTAAATCAACAATCCACAACTTTAGAATTTAGCCTTTATTAACCTTTAAGTGTAGATTAACAAAAAAGCACACTATCAAAGAAAATAAAGGTTAAATTCTTAAGTTGTGGACTTTTTATTCACCAAAAAAGCCATTAAACACCCATACCTACAAGATTACAGGAAAAAACATTTCAACATATTTATAATCGGTGTTTCCAAAAACAAAAGATATTTTTTATATCAATACAATCTCTTAAACTAATCATATATCATCGATTTGAATTTAAAATAGGATATGATATTGAACAACTATTTCATGAAAATTGAAGCAAAATATAAATAAAAAATTATATATAAATTAGTAAATTTAATTACAGACAAAGAAAAAAGACTTTCAACAAAATGTTAAATTTTTACTTTCAACAGTAGCATTCCAATATTTTCCTTTGGGTAAAATATATATTGTACAGTACTTATTTTATTATTTTCAATATTTAATGTCCTTGTCTTTATTCATTTTTCAAATATAATTAGAAAATTACATTTATTAATTTTTAATTTCACAAGTAATCCTTTATCTGGAACCAATTTTACTCAAAAATCTTCATAAAATCAACAATTACATTTGGCATTGTATATAAACTGTTATATAAGATTACATATAAATAAAAATAACCCGAAATATAATTCTCATATATAAATACTAATATGTATGTATGTATGTATGTATGTATGTATATATATATATCCAATCAAAGGAAAATCTGATTTACATACTAACATTCTGAATTTGGCTTATTATATGTTATATTATATATGTTTGAACATTTATTATACATATAATAACCATAACTTATATGTATTAACATTTATTATACATACCAGAAACATTTCATACAGCGAAATAAATTATAAAAATGCTGGGCCAGACCAGAAGCAACATTTGGCCCTGCATCACGTTAAATCATTTAAGTATACACAACAAAGATAAGTAACATGCTCATTATATTCTCAGATCAACCAATCAAAACATCCATCATCATCATCATGCCTACAATTTTTATATAAAAGTCATTTACTCTAATGGGTTTCTAAAATTATGCATTTCTCATATAATTAGAGCATAGTGTTAACAAACTTGGAAGGCACTGGCCTTTCTGGCATTTGCCAGAACTTCCAAATAATCAGTCTGGCCATTTACAAATGTTGATGATGTATATGGTTAGTCCTTTAAAGAACATATATAGATTATAATCATAGAAAACCAAACTATTGAGAACTATAGATATAACAATTAGATAAATGTTTAATATAGGACTATAGATATAGAATATAGAACTAAACACATATAAAAGTACAGAAATATATGTACTGTACATGATATAAATATTTTCAAGAACCTAATCAAAACACGAGTATGACTGATCATTTTATGTTAAAATAACACAAGACAGAATGAACATATGTAGTACAAAAAGCATCTTAAAACACAACTAATTTGCATATTTTAGTATGTCTGAGCTGAAATATAATAAAAACATTTTTAAAATTTGTATATTTCACCATCGATAGAGTACAATCTGAAATAATTCCTATAGAAATTTTATATTTTATAAATTACACGTTTAATTTTTTTAATATTTTAAAATAAATAATAAACATTTAATAATTTAAATGTAAAAAAAATCAATATTTACCAATCATCTATATCTAATGATAAATGTTTAAAAATCAAACAAACGCCGAATTTCCGAGAAGAATATTACAAATAATATTCTTTCGTTAAAATTTAATATTTTTAACATTTTAAAATTAAAAAATAACTATAAATTTCCTTTTACAACTCGAATCTACAATTTTTCTTACGGAATAATAAGAAACCATGCCAAGCGACATATTTAACAAAAACATTTTTATATTTTTCGAATTATCTTTCTTTTTTATTATATATTAATACATTTAGTTTCATACAAATAAATATAATTAATTCTAATTCAATAAATTTTTAAGTTGCAAAATTATCAAAATTTCATCGAACATTAATTTAATGGCGGATAAATTTTCGTTTTTATTTATTTTTGATGTATTTAATACATAACGTGTTTTTATAATTCTTTGTGACATCTTTATTTTAAATTATGATTTCACTGTAAAATTAATAATGCAGTTATTCCGTTTTTTTTTTTTTTTGTCATATAACATACAGTATTTGGAAAACTTATTCTAATAAAATGGCCTTATGTCCACGTTAGCGTAAAAAAATTTAAACAGAATAACAGTTTTGTAAAATTTATATTTCTGTCTTGAAACCAATAATTAAATTCGTAAATTAGTCATTATTTATGCCAAAAAAAAACCCGCCGCTTAGGATGATCCTGGTTCGATTTCGGGTCGAAATCTCGAAAATTTTGAATGGGTGTTTTGAATCGTATACGTTTATCATTACACGCTTGACCCTACTGCCGGTCAGATCCAGTTAAGCAGAAAAAATACAGGCCCAGAATGTACTGGTGCCTCGTTTCAATAAATCAGAAATTAAATGCAAATGCTCCGCATGCCGCTCTGGAGATCCGGATTCGAGTTCGCGTTAGTTCAACATTTTCATGGAATGGTTAACTTAATCCGAATATGTAGGGCCCCTCCCTTCTCTCATTATCCGGACGTCTCCATTGTGGGCTTGGCCAAATAATAATGGGTATAAAAAAACGTCTTAGTGTTTGCGAGGTGGAATTAAAATAATTTTTAAAAAATTCGAGATTTGTTTGCTAAGGAAGCTTTTATTCTTCTATAAGTAAGATAAATATATTTCTTATGGTACGGTTGTTTCTACATTACTTTAAAATTAATTCTTCAAAAAATCATCTTAAAGAATTTGAAAACTTAACAGTTAATACAGAATTCCACCATCGTTTTTTAAATCTGTAACCTCATTTCAACACAGACAACTACTAAGGATTATACTGTATATGTTAGTTTTTAATTATACTATGCATTTCAGTTGTAAGATTTTTGATGTTACTTGGGTTCATCAGGTGTTACATTTCTACACTCGGTAAACATAGTTATATAAACGATTATCTAACTATGGCCGCGTTTCTTTATGCAGCGCTCGAGAAGCGCTTTACAGCGAACCCTCTGAAACCCGTTTCTAAATGCAGCGCTGCAATGTAGCGAACCGTTTCTAAACGTTTGCTGCAAGAGGTCGCTGCAGCGAAGATAAAGCAGCTTTTACGTCCGCTACACGTGTAAAGCAAAATGGACGCTTGTGTGTATAATACGATATTATGCTATAAAAATAAAAAAGTCGAAGTGACTGTTGATAAAAATATTATGGAAAGATTAAGAAGGATTAAATTTTATGAAATGACTCTGAAAGTTATCTAAAGAATAAGAAAATACTATATTTTAAATATAATTATATATCTTTTATCTTTACTTTGTTCACATTTATGGAAAGATAAATGCTCGATTCTTTATATCTCTTTATTTAAATATTGTAGTTCTTTAACTAAGCACTATTTTCGGCTGTAACTGGAATTAAAGGATAGATTATAAACGTCCATGTTTCGCTCGAGCGGAAAGCGTTTCTAAACTATGATGCAGCGACGTGTAGCGATAGCTGCTCGTGACGTCATTTACGCTGCACTCTCGCTGCATAAAGAAACGCAGCCTATATAAAGCTGAAAAACCGGATTCTTTCTTTCTGTCACTGTATAACTAGACACGTAGTGATTTTTGAAACTAAATACAGTATTTCTTTTTCTATACTTTCACGTATTTTTAACACATTTTTTCTGGGAGTTCGGTCGTGGGTTCGCGCCTCGCTCGGACGAGCTGGTCACGTGGAGTTTTCCGGGGGTTAACGCCTAAATAGGGGCCAGTTTCCCATAAAAAGACCTCCCGGAAGGCATCCCACCTAGGCAGATCGCCCAAGTGTTGCCATAACTTAAGATGACAACAACCAGTGGCGTAGCGTAGTGGGGTGGCCCGCCCCGGGCGGCACTTTTAGGGAGCAGCAAAATCTCACAATAAATAATAATAATATCTTTTAAAAATTCGAACCATTTCATTTCATATTTTTGTCGCACCTACGATTCGAACCGATTGAAATGAACATGGAATTTTTCATTACTTATTCTGTGACGAAACTGAATTTTAGTCTTTTAAATTGAGATACCTAAATAAGGGGACGGCAAAATTTTCCTCCGCCCCGGGCGGCTGACACCCACGCTACGCCACTAATAACAACAACACATTTTTATATATTATAGACATAAAAAGTGTCAAAAGTTTAACCATAAAAATAATGAATGTTATCTGTTAAATTATTACTTTGAAGTTATTTTCAGTTTTTAAAGTACTGTATCGTATTACAGCACTACGCTGGACAGTTTAGCATTCCGTTTCTTTACCCGAAAAAACGGTTTCACCACAAAGCTAGTAAATGCAATTTGCGACGCGATAAAAGTAGCGAGTTGACTTTTCGAGGGAAAAGAAACGATAAAATTCTACTACAAATATCGCTGCTATAAGTTTTTACCCTATCACAATAGACATTTGCGAGTCGCTACAGCAACTAAACAGGAGTCGTTGGAGAACACTCCTGTTGAAAATAATTCATTAATGTCTCACAATATAATTTCTATTGAAGAATTCGATCTTTACATTCCGATAATTTCAGACTACTTATGAGATTAACTTTTCTTTGTCTATTATATCTCGCACCTTGTTTATCGCCACCATAAATCCATAATACTACAGCAGAAATTGACACTACTGTATATTGTTGAGAGATAATTCCTTGTATTTTGTTACCAATTTTCATTAATTTCCGAATTATGCTGAATTATACAAAATTTAAAAATTATATACAAGTATTGGGCATTTGTTGTAATGATTTAAATGGTTTAATGGAAATTTCGACTTAATAAGTGACGCATTTGTCGTGACGTCACACTTAATTGACAATAGTTTTCACTTGTTCTTTTTTTTATTGTTGGTCGCTAAAATGAAAAGAAATTTGTCTGAAAATGTTGATTGTTCTTTTCATTTCGAATCTTTTCGTTACAATTTTGATTCGGTAGGCCTACGTCTCTCGAAAGAGATTCTTTATATTTTATTTACGTGATTTAAATTAAATAAACTGGTGTGGAGTCTCGACTCGAAACATATTCCTTATTTAGATTTAAGATTTTTATACAAATTATCGTTAAATTAAATTAGGTTGATTTATTAATAAATTTTCATTAGATATAGGCTACATACACAGTGCGGCAATTAAATTCCGGGATTGAAGCTATATCTCACCAACCAGTAGCGACATCTGTTTAAATTTTATGTCAAATGAAGTTTGAACAGATGTCGCTACTAACCTAAAACTTTTATTTAAATCGGTTGACATTTATCATTGTTTTTGATATTTTGTTTATCAGTTTATTTTGTTACATGTCGGCAAACAATAATGGAACAACGTGCTGTTATTAAATTTCACGCTAAACTTGGCACAAGTGCCACAGAAACGTTCAAAATGCTGCAGAAAGTGTATGGAAGTGAGTGTTTATCATCACCTCAAGCCAAGAAAAAACGAAAAGTTCCATCAAAAATCAAGACAATGTTCATTGTTTTCTTCGATAGCAAAGGCGTCATCCACCGTGAGTTCGTCCCACAGGGTCAAACAGTTACTGCTGCTTTCTACTTGGGAGTTTTACAACGATTAATGGAAAGAATTCGTCGAATTTGACCAGAATATCGCAATTCTGATGACTGGTGTTTGTTACACGATAATGCACCGAGTCACACATCATTGATTGTTCGTCAATTTTTGGCACGAAATCAAGTCTGTGTGTTGAATCATTCGCCGTATTCCCCCGATTTAGCACCATGTGACTTCTCTTTATTTCCAAAAATGAAAATAAAGTTGAAAGGACGCATTTTTAATGATATTGAAACCATCCAAAGAGAGTCTACGCGCATATTAGAGGCAATACCGAAAATTGAGTTTGAGCAGGCATTTGAATCACTATTGAATCGCTGTAAAAAGTGTATTGAAGCAGGAGGAGAGTATTTTGAATAATTTAATAAAAAGATTTGAATAAAATTGTTTTGTTTCATTTTTATAGATCCAGTCCCGGAATATAATTGCCGCACTGTGTACAATTGTTCGTTCAGAAAAATTTTCTTAACACTTTTCTCTTGTGCCAGATAGCAATAAGAGAATAGTGACCCAGAGCGGTAGGCTGCCTCCTTGACCGCTCGACCATCCGGCCTGTGCAAAGTGCACTAGCAGAGCGCAAACATCGCGTTAGAAAACGAATATAGATACTGGGGAATTCCCCGAACAAAAATGTCTGAAGTGAACACTATACACGGGGCTCCCTAATTCAAATTTACCTGGGCCCCAATACGCTATAACGCACCACTGTTCATAATCTATTATTATACAGTGGAACATAACACAACGAGTAATTCGTATAACGAGAAAAATAAATTGTAAAAACGACTCGCTTAACGAACGACGTTTCGCATAACAAGTGGCAAGGGGAGATGTCTCGGGTGTGCGCATACTTCATCAGTCTCTGTTTAGCACTCGTTCCGCTACCATCTCAGCGTCCCTTGTGATCACACATTTCTTCAAATTTGTGTTCACGCGTATTACGTATAAACATCAACAACCATAGCCCGTTATATAATAAAGACGCCAAACGATACGCCAAATTCTTGAGCGATGTAA